ATAATAAACTCCTCCACTTCCCCCCATTTCCTTCCTACGGTTGCAGTTGATATCTCTAATAGTTCATCTTCAAGTTGTCATTCATAAATGATTCAGGATGTGAAACTATTAGATTTATAAAGTTAATTAAATTGCTAGCCGTTATTGCTTATTATTTGTTGCCTATTAACTCATTATTTCTTGCCTTTATTTTACTTTATTCTGTTTTATTCCTTTCCTTTTTATTTTATTCTATTTTAATTCTTTCCTTTGTAAAACCTATTGTAATTGAGTTTAAATAAAATCATGTTGTTCAAGTCACAAATTTGACATGGTATCAGAGACAAGTTCTACCCTAGTCGTCGGCTCATATAGGAGTTTTTTCCTGTTGTCGGTTCCACCTTCAGCAATTCTCCATCATAGCCTTTCTCCCATGAGCTTGAATCTTGGATTGACTCGCCATGGATGATTAGGAATCTTCCACGTGGCTCTGTCCCCTAAAAATGTTTTAAGGATTGCAATATCTCTAGCTGAAGTTGTGAGCATGTCGTCGATCACAGGTTCTGCAACATTGCAATCAGGGCACCAACTAAGGTTTGTAGAGGGATCCTTATTGGCGAGGAAAAGAAGCAGTTTTATCTCCGAGTTGATAGCCTTAAAATTCTCAAAAACATGTCGTGAAATCCTCTCCCGTGATGAAGCTCATTTCTTGCACCTTCTTGCATCTTTTTTGTAGGAAAAACAATTTTTTACAGCCTTCCTGCACCTTTCCTGCATCTGTCCTGCAGTGTTGTAGCTTTCTACAGCAGTCCAGCAGACTTTCTTGCATCTTTCCTAGCCAGCAGTCTTCCACCTGCAGCAGTCCAACAGGCTTTCTTGCAGCTTTCCTGCACACCTGCAGCTATCTGTTAGCTGAATCCATCAATGACTCGGAATCAAAGCCACGCTTCTTTTGGTTTGGTCGGAATCATCTCGAATTGTGGTCAACCCTTGTCCATTCATCCTCGAACCGGTCACTTCACTTGTGTTTACTTCACAAACCCAACCGCACTCAGGACAAGTGTTTGAAACTCCACGGTAAGCCAGCTTACAAACCTTCATCCAAATCCTCTACTAGCAAAGGTCTTACAGCAACTGTCGAGCCTACCACGGATCAACTGAATCCATCCGGAGCATCCCAAAATCCTTCGAATCCCTGAAACAACCGATGGAGCAATTCATCAAGCTTCTTAGAGCCCATCAAGTCACTACAGGTCCGTTGACCTCCCACGTCCGAAAAGGTACTCTTCCTATGACTTTCACGATTTATTCCTCCTCAAGTCCGTGGATTACTAATTCAAGCGTCACAAATCACATGATTGGATGCTCACAAGTTTTCTCGACCTAATATTCATGCTCGGGAAAAAATACCGTCAAAATTGTAGATGACTCATGTAGTTTCATTGTTGGAACTCTACAATTTATTTTAAATGCTCCTCAGTTGCAATGTAACTTGTTATCTGTCAGCAAGTTAACGAATGATAATAATTGCGTTGCTAATTTCTCTTATAATGATTATGTTTTTCATGATCATTATTAGGAGAGGATGATTGAAAATGCTAAAAGGGTAGTTGGACCTATTACTTCCAAAAGAAGAGGACAAAAAATATAGACTCACCTCTCAGGAGTTGTAGCTTATCTCAAGTCATTGAATGTCCAATTATGTTATTGCATTGTCTTTTAGGTCATCCTAATTTTCAATATTTAAAAAAGCTGTATCCTTTGATGTTTTCTACTAAAAACCCTTCTAATTTCTATTGTGAGAAATGTCAGTTAATCAAACATCATCGGGTTCATTACCCATCCCACACTTAACACTCCTTCCGCTCATTTCTCCCTCATTTGCAGTGACCTATGAGGACCTTCTCGCACTCCTAACTACAACAATAAAAGATGGTTTCTAACTTTGATTAATGACCACACTCGAATGACGTGGGTCTACATTTTAAAAGTCAAATCGGAAGTTGTTATCACTTTCCAAAACTTCTGCACCTTCATTTTAACTCAATTCAAATTCAAAACTCCTACTCAAGTCCTTCGGACCAACATTGATCCTGAATTTTTGAACTCTATTATGGGTAAATTCTTAGTGAGTAAGGACATCCTCTACCATAGCTCTTATACGGACACTCCTCAACAAAATGGGGGTAGCCGGGAGAAAAAACTGTCACCTCCTCAACGTTGCTCGCTCCATTATGTTTCAATCCAATGTTCCTAAATATTTTTGGAACGATACAATTCTAACTGTCACCCATCTCATATAAAATTCACAAGTTTCGAACCCTCTTAGTCGTTCTGATGTCATGTTTCCCAACTAATGGATCTTCCCGACATTAGGCCTCAAGATTTTTAGGTGCACTACCTTTATTCAGAACACTACCCCCAATCAAACTAAATCTAATCTCAGATCCATAAAATGTATCTTTCTTAGGTACTCCGCCACTCAAAAAGGGCATCGAGGTCTTGATCCTATCACTAATAAAATCTACGTGAGTGTTGATGTATCTTTCTTTGAAAGTGTTCCCTGTTTTCCTAGCCCAACCCCAAGTGAGGGAAAGATTGAGTTCTTAGACGCTATCCCTTATCCTACTCCTATGGATATTCCCCCCATTGTTCCCGCTACTAAAGAGTCCCCTGTCCCGGTGAGTTCCAGGATCCCATGAGCGCACCACCTCCACCTCTCACTATTTGCGTCAACACTCGGCGCACCCATTCCAATGCTCCTATTCTGGAACCCACTACCTCCTTACAGGACCATAACTCCACTCCGAGCGACATCCTCAGCGTGAACCCTCCTCTAAATGAGGAGGTGAGTTCTCCCAGTAAAGTATGCAATCAAACATGTTCTCTTTATTCTATGACAAAATATGTCTCTTTCTGCAGTTTATCATCGACCTACAGAGCAGTTGTCACTATTCTGACGTATCATCAAATCTCAGCTACTATTGAGGTTGCTCTTGTTGATCCGGTGAAGAAAAGACAGTAATGGAGGAGATTAATGTCCTTCAACCATACATGGGATGTCGTTGATCTTTCTCAATGTAAGGAATTTGTGGGGTGCTGATGGATTTTCGGCAACAAGTTCAACTCTGATGGCTCATTTGAACGCAACAAGACACGATTGGTTCTCAAAGGATACTCATAGACTTACGGAGTTGACTATGAGAAGATATTTGCTTCAGTGGCTAATTTAAACACCATTTAGGTCCTGTTATCCCTTTCAGTGAATATAGATTAGTCTTTATTTCAGTTGGATGTCAAGAAGACGTTCTTGAATGGAGAGCTTACAGAAGAGGTATACATGTCTCTCCCTCCTGGCTTTGACTCTACTGCCTCCAAAAGGCAAGTGTGCAGGCTGTGAAAGTCTCTTTATGGCCTAAAGCAGACCCTTAATGTCTGGTTCAATAAGTTCACAAAGGTGGTCGTGGGTCATAGTTTTACGCTCAATCGGATCACACTCTTCTTCAGGGTTTCCTCCACGGGCAAGGTAGCTATCCTTATTGTCTATGTTGACGATATTGTTCTTACAGGTAATGATCTCCCAGCATTGAAGTCCCTGAAATACATTTTTGCCAAGTCCTTTGAAATGAAGAATTTGGGATCTCTCTGGTACTTCTTAGGCATGTAAGTGACACGATTCTCTTGAGACATTTGCCAATCATAATGCAAATATGTGATTGACCTCTTTAAAGAGAGCAACCTTCTTCTGTGCAAACCGGTGGTTGTCCCAATGGATTCAAAAGAAAAATTATCTCACATTTTCAACGTTGTGCCTGTCAACAAGACATACTACCAATGTCTTGTGCGGAAACTCATTTATCTTGCTCATACTTGCCCCGACATATGTCATGCAGTTGGTATAGGTGAGTCAATTCATGCATGAACCCTATGAGCATCATCTCCAAGCTGTCCGTCGGATTCTTCACTATTTAAAAGGTACACCGGGCTCAGGTTTGTTACTCTCTCATCACACATCTCGGTCTATTACTGTTTATACAGATGCTGATTGGATCGGGTCGGTTCATGACAATCAATCTACCTCGGGGTATTACTCATTTGTATGGAGAAATCTGGTCACATGGAAAAGCAAAAAAAGCATGTGGTTGCTCGGAGCAGTGCTGAAGCTGAATTCCGGTCCATGACCTTAGGGATCTGTGAAACCCTCTGGTTACGCATCATGCTCCATGAACTTCAAATGCCAACCTCTGTCCCGTTGCAGTTATTCTATGATAATAAGGTCGTCATCAGCATTACTCACAGTCCAGTAAAATATGTCGTACCAAACATGTGGAGATTGACAGACACTTCATTAAAAAAAATTTTGAGTCCGAAAAAATTTGTCTTTTATACCCTCCAGTGGTTAACTAACGGATATTCTTGTCAAGAATTTTCCTTGACCTTTGTTCGATGACTTCAAATCCAAGTTGAACATGATTGACATTTATACGTCAACTTAAGGGAGGTATTAGCTTTATAACGTCCATTAAATCCCTAGTTGTTATTACTTATTATTTCTTGCCTGTTAACTCATTATTTCTTGCTTTTTTTTACTTTATTTTGTTTTATTCATTTTCTATTTATTTTATTCTGTTTTATTTTTTTCCCTTATTGGGCCTATTGTAATCAGGTTTAAATACCCCTTATTCTATCAATGAAATCATGCTGCTCGAGCCACAAATTTGACAGGAACAACATCGAATGAGATATCATTAAAATCAGGGCTTAATGATAATAAATTGACAATACAATTCAGAGCTTAAAGATCAAACCAAGCCAAAATTTTGGTGCATGTCTGCATTCAATCAGAACTTAATCCAAGCCAAAAAATGATTAATCATCAAGTTAAAACTCTCAACCCTAATCGCAGGTACAATATGATGTGCAACACAACCTGATATTTGACAAATTTTAAACTACGAATTTCATGTTGAGGTAAGAAAATTTAAAAACTAGAACAATCATACGATCAGTGTCAGTGTTACCTTGGGTGTTGTAGGTTTATCACTCGTGGATCCACTGATTGCATCATCGCCATGACAAGACGAACATACCTGGATTAGAATCTCATTAGCGAACCACACAAACTAAAAATGACTAGAAGGCACACAAAAAAATTTAAAATCACGTCAAACAGTCTTTTGTCTAAATAATTTCAAAGTCAAATCAATAACAAGGCATGCATTGTCCTTATTTTCTTCTAAATTTATTCTAAAAAATGCAATAAGTAGTTTTCTTCACGTGCATTCCTTAGACAACTTTAAGCTTCAATATATTACCTTCTACATGCATCATACTTTTATTCCAACCTTATCGGATCATCCATTTAAACTGGAAGATCCTTGAAAGAGTGCAAGTTGCATTACTATATTAAAAGATAAATAGTACAAAATTATGCCCTTAAGTATGTACAAACTAAGCTTTTTTTTTTAATGCAAGATCCGTGGAGTGGTGAAACAAGCAATATTATCCCTATATTACAGAAGAATGTTTCCGTGACTCAAAAGTCAAATCTATGACCTCCAGGTCGCAATGGAAATTAAGGTACCATCAAGTATCTGGTATTTTTTTGTTGGCTCATTTATGGTTCTTTTAAACACCAATATACTCTAACTTATTAAAAGTACTTATACTGAACAGCAACTCTATCTACATTTTGCAATTAAAGTGATTTGCAACTGAGAGAATTAATGTTGACTAAGCATCTAAGGGATTGGAGTTCACTATTTATTTATTTTATTCTTAGAAGTTTTGTTTAAATTTTATTCCTTAGAAAGAAAAAGAAATTCTTTCTCTATTTGTATAACTATTTTAGTCATTCATTTAACTAGGAACTTCACGTTCATTGATTTATCCTAATGATTATTTAGTTTGTTATTGAATTTATTACTTTGCTAATAATAATCAAAATTCTCTTATCAATAGATGGAAGCCTTTAGATTTCCAAAGCAAAGTTTAAAGAAGAGAAAATGCAATCACACACATCCCATCAATATTATTGTGCAATTTTATTGTTTGAAGATTTTCTTAGGTGGTTAACTACGGCATTAAGAACAAACTCTCTAAGAATAATGGTCAAGAGCAAGTGACAATAACTTCGAAAAAAAACCAAGAGAACACCTTTAAAAAATTAAAATGATCAATGCTTAAAAAATAATAACATAAACTCACCGAATTTCTGATTCCCTCCTCTCACGTGCACTTATCTAAAAAAATGAAAGTGCATAATTAGTCAAGTGAATATCATAACCTCTAAAGACTACTAAAAAACAATCAGCAAGGTATAAAAGTTTACATAAATACCTCACTTCCATTTAGTATCTTAACTTTTGCTAAGCGTGCAACCAAGACAAACCTTGAGACACCACCTTTAGTAATATCAGCAATAGGGTTCTCAGAAAGCCTGATATCCTTCCAAATAAGCAAGTGGAACATCACAAAGAAGCTCTGGTAGAAAGCTGAAATACATGCCAAACCAAGCATGCTTTTTTGCACTAAGGAATAAAGGAAAGCAGACATGGCAATGCATACTACAGTATTGGCTGATTATGCATGGTTTGATTATTTAAAAATCAACTCTGTAACGATTCCTTCAAGAAACTAAGTAATACTTCTACAAGATTTCTTCTACAAACGACAGACTGGCAAACTAAAACCATAAAGTTAGAATTTTAATAAGATGGTATATTTTATAAATAATGACATCAAAAGCACATTGTGGAATGACAGAGACAAATAGTCATGCGGTTGAACCCAAAGCATAGAAACTACTGCAGCATACAGAGAATTCGTAAATGCAGAAAATCTCAGCTGCCTCAAATTCTAAGTCCAGGAAGTCCCAGATGCTATCCATTGAAGGACTCGACCATCCCATTCGGATACTACAAAACAATTTGGCATGAATGGAAACTTTGGGACAAATAGAACGCTATAGTAAGGAATCCTAAATTCAGTAAATTAGCGAAGTTATTATTTTTAAATGTAAAGGTAGAGGTGTGATGCTGTATATATATATATATATATATATACACACACACACACACACACACACACACACACACACACACACACACACACATATTTATATATATATTAAAATTGAAAAGATACATAGATTGTATGAGAGTACCCAAAAAAATGTGCTCTACCCATACGATACATCAGATACTAGCATCCTAAAAGGAGGAAACACAAATAAAACACAAAAAAAAAAACAAATTACTAGAGTATCATCCATTAAGTTCCCAACCTTGGGTGTGCCTCCATTCTTCTTTTTCTTTCTAGATGTGTATACCTGCTATTCCTCATCCGAGGACTGGCTCATATGATCGGTGTGGTCAACAGATTGTTGGGCATGTAGGAGAGAATGAGCCCCTAGCTCCTGACTAACAGTAACAACATTCTGATTCTGAAGAGGTGGTAAGCATGTCTCTTCAACACCTGATGCATTCTGGGGATGTGGAGCTTCAATACTATCATGATTATCGGACCCAAGTAAACCGTCTGCCAATATATCAGTCGAAAGAACAGAGACAGTATTGTCGCCGGTAGTGAGAGGGGAAGGTGGCATCGTGTCATCCGTTGTTTCAATAGTCTGTGGAATGCACTCATGAGCGGAGGAGGGACGTGTATGAGGTGGGGCAGATCCAGAAGCGGTTTTACTTGAAGATGTATGAGGTGGGGCAGATCCAGAAGCGTTTTTACTTGAAGATTTTAAATTCAGATGCAACTGATAACATTGAGAAGGAGAATGTCCAAACATACGGCAGTGAGTACAATAAAGTGGTATCTGTTCAAGTTCTGCTTGCTGCCAAAATCCCTGATATTGTGTGTCAATCCATATTTCTCCAAAAAAAGGTAAAGTAATATCTCTTTCTATCAAAATTCTGGCTTCTGAAGGTCGAGTCAGATTCATTGTAGGCGCGTCAGCTTTGAGGGGTTTACCGTATACCATCGCTAAAGCGAAGAGAAGCTCTTGATCAAAAAGGTGGATCTTCAAACATGGGAAACGAAGCCAAATAAGAATTGTAGGAGGTTCAGTACCAGGGTCAAAATCCACCGTACATTTTAACACCTTCATCACCTAATTTTCAATTCGAAGAAGTCTTCTCACAAACAAATAAGTGTAGTCTTCATCATTTGATAATTGAATGAGAATGTGGGTGATAATTGAATGAGAATGTGACGACCATCCAATTTACCGATCTTCCAACCCCCTTTCAGCTTCATTTGCTCAAAATCCTTTCGAATTAGTTCAAGTTTAGGGAATCCATAAAGAAACTTACCTACTAAGAACTGTCGGCAGGGCGCAGCTAGAGTGGAGATCTCTGCTTCAGTGAGAAAGATTGCAGGTTTGTCGTTTTTACGGGAAGCTTTTTTGAGAAATCTGGTTTCAATGCCAAGTGCAAAATTGTCATGGTATCGTTGTGGAAACATATTGGAAAGAGGGGCGGAGACGGGGTTATCACTGGTAAGGGCGGCGATGTAGGAACGCGCTGATGCCATTCAGACGCCGTCGATCAACACAAACAGCGCACGCCGCAATTCGTCGCAGGGCGCGAAACAGCGCACGCAGCGGTGGCGTCGTAGGGCGCGAAGGAGGATCCTTGTGTTGCTGGGCGTGAAGGAACGAAGGCGAGCGGGCGAGCTAAGGCCCGCAAAACTCTGGCGAGCGGCGCTGCGGGACGACGCAACGTCGCGTCTTCTCTGTCGCAGACGACGCCACCAAAGCACGGAGGCGTGAGAGTGGAGATCGGGGCAGCAGCGACGATCGAAACGCTAGGGTTCGCCATGGGGTGGAACCCTAGCAGAGCGGCGGGGCGACATTCCGGCGACATGGAATCTATATATATATATATACGGTACAACACAAATAAAAAAAAAAAAAAGGGTACATATAGAAATAAAAGAAAAAAAATCAAAAAACCACTCAGTCGTTGAAAAAGTGTGGGTCATCCCAATCTAAACTTGCCTATGGCTCTAGTTCTCGGTAGGGATCCAGCTAGCAGATTGGTAAGGTGCTGACTATTACCCGTAGTAACACCCGTAGTAACCAAAGAGTAACCAAAGTATCATCCATAAGACTCCTGAGCTCTAGTAGATCTCCATTCCAACATCTCATCACTAAGTAGCAGTAACAACAGTTTCATGGGGGAGATCCTCAGGGGCAACAGACACCTCATGTCTGATAGTATCATCCTCAGGTGGAACTAAAATATCCACAGCAGTAGGGTTAAACCCATCCTTATGCACTTGAACCTTAGATTTCAAATTAGGATGACGTTTTTTGACATTCAGCAAGGATATGACCAAACATCTTATAGTGGGTACAATATGGAGGTTTGTGTTCCATGACAATTTATTGCCAATAACCATTATGGGTTGTGCCCAACCAGACTTCAGTAACATCAGGTAAAATAATATCTCTTTCCACAAGTATTCTGACCATCGAAGGTCTGGTTAGGTTGATATCTAGTTTCAAAGGATCCCAAGTTATGGTCTTAAAAGAGTAAAGAACCTGATGATGAAAAAAATGCAACTTGAGACCAGGTAAACTAAATCATACAGGTACAGTAGGAGTTAGTTTCATAATTTGGGTCGAAATTAGGAGACCACTTGAGTAACTTCATTAATTTGTCTTCGATATTAAGATATTTCTTGGAGAAAATCCTGGTGTAGTCTTCAGTCACTGTTAGTTGGATCAACACATGTCTCTTATTCATGAATCCCACTTTCCACTTGCCTGCTAGCTTAGGATCATCAACATTTTTTCTGATAATATCCATAGGAGGGTGTCCCCACTGAAATTTTCCAATAAGAGTAAACTTGAATTTTTCCGTCAGAGTAGAAATTTCTAATTCAGAGAAAAAAATTGTTTCTTTTCCACCTTTCCTGCTCTCCTTCTTAATAAAAGGACAATCATCAGTACCCTCGCGGGATTCCTTATAACTTGAGGGGAATCTCACTGCAGACTCCACTTGGGGGTTACCCACTACGTGGGCAAAGAAAACTTTATCCGGCTCCACCACAGAAGTAAATGCCATCAGAGGTCAGAGAAGGACCTGTCAGGCGGACGCAGAAGCGGCAGCAACGAAGCCGAAACAGACGCAGGAGTGCCGAAACAGATAACAACGGGCGCAGACGACGCGATATCGAGCAGCGCCGAAACAGAAGGAGGCGACGAAGACATAACGAGCAGCGCCGAAACA